CTATTGAGCACCAATAAGTATAACTTAGAGCCAGTGATTTCATCATGTTTATTCCAGGGTGACCACTGAGAAATGGATTGAGAATGTTGTGACGCAATGATTCTGAAATAACAGTTTGGTCACCGAACGTAATATGTGAGTCGACAAACATTAGTGAGTCATGTCGACGAAAATATTGCGAACGTTCTCCTCCAAGACGGTTGTTTGGCCGTTCGGTAGAAAGATACCACTTAACTCTACCCAATGTCTTTCAGTTTCAGTGATTTTCTTGATAGCTTCGAAGGCAGCCGGAAGTCCATCGATTACGTCCGTCAAGTACACGATGAGCTTCTTTCTCAACTTTTATATTTGCTACACGTGTTTTCTGGCGTTCTTGACTGGCAACCTCTTAATCCTGATAACGCGTCAGCTTGCCCGAAAGCGATAGTAGACTGATAGAAGACTTGATCGTGAAATCGCGACTCAGATGTTTTGTTGCCCATCGTTGTAGTCGGTTAGTCATGTGAACAGGAATCCCTTTCTTCCACCCAAATACTGTAAGTAATGGCTTATGGTTTGCTGCCAGGGTGAAATGCTGACCAAATATCATTTTGTGAATTCTTTTAAGTTTCTGTTCAACCGTGTTCTGATTTGTGGACTTATCTAATTAAGTAATGTCGAATAATACCGAACAATAAGTGTAAATGGGTCAAAATAAGAGAAATCGAGACAACACCTAAACTAATATTGTTTCTCAAGTTATCAGGTAACAAGTCGGAAATTCATAAGTGTTAGGCACCTTTTCACCATTATATTTGAGGCCATTTAAATTACACTAACTCCGACTAAACTTATCTATCATGTTCCAAGCATTTCTGTCCTGGAATAATAATGACTAGGCGTTAGGTAGTTTGTCGTAACTCCTCATGTTCAGTCATGGCTAAAGTTGATTATTATATAACGTTGATCAGTATGTAGACCCAGCATGTCCAACAGCTTGGTCATAACCTGTCTGTTCTATATTATTCCCATTTACACACCTAAATATAACTGGTTGGTGAGATTTTACCCTAGAAGACCGCCACGAGACAGGATGGCTGGACCACCAAGTTTCAGTGAGCCGAGATATATGAGACTTGGTTCTGCCTCACTATCTGAATAGAGATGTATTGAACTGCTAGTGTGGTCATATAAATCACAGGGAATATTAATCAAGATGTAAATTAGTTACTTAAGTTGACCAAATATTTGTATGACGAAAAATACTGGAGACTGAAATGAATGATCATTGAACTTTATTCAACGTTGACATCAGTAAAGATGTCTCTTACACTCAACAAATTTTCAGCAGAATAGCACTCCGTCGTAAAGTCTCTCTGTCAAGGTCACACTATTAAGAATTTACATTAACTTTTTATCAACATTAACACCAAACTTTTGACAGAGAAGTCTGATAAGCCCGTTTGAATAATTAAGCAATTTAGAGTCGGTAACAACAGCATATAGGTCTTCATGTCATTATTTACAAGTTTCCACTTCATATCGATAGAGTCCGCACAAAAATGTAGGTTGACGTCTTACAAATGAATGTTTATAAGTTGAGGATTTCGCCTTCGAAACATATCATAGTAGGACTTTCTACTGATCCCTTTAAAAGAAGGTTTTATATTGACTTTAGTTTCATCTGTACTAAGGGAGACCACTATGGGAGTTTTTCATCTAATTACTCCCATCATTAAAAATTATGAATTATCTTTTCAGATTTCTGCGAGATCACAGATGAAATTACTGTACTCCGTAACCAATAGCCTCACACAAATACAAATTCTTTCAACATTTTTCCGACAGAATGCAGGAAACTTAAAAGAGGCAACACCCGAATTTCAGTCTAAGGTAGCCTTGTGTTTTGTCCGAAGGTATTGTAGCGTGGCGTCGAGTTGAGATTAACTGTGAACACCGCTACCAGGAAACAGGTGCCAGATAAATCAGAAGGCGAGGGTTGGACGTAACCAAATAGATCCATAAAATCCCCGAGAAGCCAAATATCAGAAGACAGTTAATGGACCAAGTCGAGGTTTATTAGCTGGCGATCTCGTGGCATCGAAAGGATACCGAGATCGTGCCAGGATACAACCTTGGTTACAGAACGTAACCGAATTCGCGCGAAGTTACAATCGAAGTGTAAGTGAAGGAATGGAAGCACAAAATAGCTGTCATTAGCACAGTTAAACAAAAGCACATTAAAACAGTCACTGGTACACTTGGTTATAATAATAAGCGTTTTTATTAAACCAGTCGTGTTCTCGTGATAAACGTGAGTCACTACAGGAGCCCCCCGCTAGAAAGGGTTTACACTTTCGATAAATAGCGGTTTGAATCGTGGGACTGATCGGCTGACGAGCGATTGTAGGACGGAAGAATTGGCGAACAGGAAAGCGATCGTTGATCGTCGAGTTGCCAACGAAGGTCGTTTTCGGAGAACAGTACCAGGAGCGATGTGTTGTACTTATTGCTCGAGTTGGCATGCTACACCAAAGTGGTTTGTATCCAGAATCTGAAGAGGGCGTTCGTAGAGGTGCGCACCAGAAACGCTGCAGACGTAGGACGAAACCACGTTGAGCCAAAAGACCAGAAGCGACCGTAACGACCAAGTTCGAGACCAAGCGTATGCCAAGCATTCGAAACCAATATATCGACTGAGTACGTTGACAAGAGCGTGGGTGATCAGGCCAGCTTTCGCCAAAGTTGACTGAAGTCGACGGAACCAAACGTAGATGGTCGAAGGCGTGGGCTCAGGAAGCAAAAAGAAAATCAAAAAAAGAAGAGTGTAGCATACGTGTAGTATAGGAATAATCCTACACCGTATCGGTTGTTGACTGTGCGACTATTCGCGGAAGCGTACGGGTAATCGTACTCGGCGACCGGAACGTGAGACGGCAGTCTCGTTCGTATCGCGTGAGCCTGCAATCTCATCCGAGGTCAGAGGCGGCGTGGTCTGCTGATCTGGACGTGAGACTATCGTCTCGTCCGTAGACGGTGCAGATGACGCGTGCTGTTGACCGGGACGTGAGAATGAGGTCTCAGATGCATCTAGCATGGGACCTGAAGAAGATTTAAGGATCCCGCTAGGTTTGATAGGTCTAGCATTGAATCTCAGGGTGTCAGATAGGGCACTGTCATCGACGTGTGCTGGTTTGAGACGGTCAATGCTGACGATCTCGACGCGTCCATATCGATCAACCTTGAAGGTCTTTTCGTGACGAGCGATCACGTGAAAAGGGCCTTCGTAAGGTTGTTGCCAAGGTTTGCGTACCGAATCTACTCGTACAAAAACATGTGAACAGGTAGATAACTCTCGAGGGAGAGCGACCTGTCGATGTTGTATTCGAGTTGACACCGGAGACAGCGTTCGCATAAATGCAGACAGTCGATGGACGTAGTCTGATTTACCGAAATTAGGTCTGCTCCGTGGTGTGAAGAATTCTCCGGGCAGACGCAATGTCGTGCCGTATACAAGTTCAGTGGCGGAACATTGGATATCTGCCTTTAAACTCGTTCTCACCCCTAAAAGAACGAGCGGTAAGGTTTCGTGCCAGTTGCCGTTTTCGTGTGCTCGTAGAACACTTTTAAGTTGGCAGTGAAACCGTTCAACTTAACCATTTGGTGCTGGGTGGTAGACGGATATGCTTATGCGTATGCATTCCGTACCAAGCAGCCGGGTCAGCAAGGAGAATCGTTAATAGGGTAACATTTCTCGAATAAAGCGTGGAATTCATCATCACGCGAATAAAAAGTGACAAGGATTCGGTACACATACGTGTGAGTCTATTATAATAATACTATTTTTATCGTTATCCGTCATGTCGAGTATATTATATATTAAAAAATATGAAAATATACGACAGACGTGGATAGATAAATCATAGACTCACCGAATTGGCTTCTTTAGAAGATTTGATCAGAAGTTGAGGCGTGTTCCAAAATACGGGTCACCAATTGTATTCGAATTGGGATTACCAATTGTAGCGTGGCGTCGAGTTGAGATTAACTGTGAACACCGCTACCAGGAAACAGGTGCCAGATAAATCAGAAGGCGAGGGTTGGACGTAACCAAATAGATCCATAAAATCCCCGAGAAGCCAAATATCAGAAGACAGTTAATGGACCAAGTCGAGGTTTATTAGCTGGCGATCTCGTGGCATCGAAAGGATACCGAGATCGTGCCAGGATACAACCTTGGTTACAGAACGTAACCGAATTCGCGCGAAGTTACAATCGAAGTGTAAGTGAAAGAATGGAAGCACAAAATAGCTGTCATTAGCACAGTCAAACAAAAGCACATTAAAACAGTCACTGGTACACTTGGTTATAATAATAAGCGTTTTTATTAAACCAGTCGTGTTCTCGTGATAAACGTGAGTCACTACAGTATGTTGTGTGTTGAGGGAGCATATCGAGTAGTGTATGTGGTAAACTAAAACGGAGAAAAAGTGAGTCGACTGAGTAGGCAAATTGGTTGTAGTTATATTTAATGGTTAAATAAGCTATTGATAACACAGAGATGAGATCATGACAATCTAATGATCTAGGCTAGAAGTTAATGGACTGAGATTTCAGATGCGCTATGATCTCATTGATTCATAACACGGTTAGCGTCCGTAATATCCACAATAACATGTATAAAAACTTATTCTCACTAAAACCACCAGATAAACCTAATACGCCAGGTTCAAATGAAGATAATATTTGAACTTTTTAAGAGAACTCACGATTTTTTCTACTCAAATTCTATCATTTGCCCGACGACTGAATGTTACCACAGACATTGATATACTGGGAAATTTCCTCTCCTTCAAAATCACTTTCACTAGGATGGGAATCAAAAGTAAGTCCTTATGGCCCACGAAAACTATTTAATTGAAAGATTTTACCCTACCGTCAACACTAAATCCTCAAACTGCTTATAGATACTTTTTCCATAGATGTTTGAAATGGGACATCAGTAACTTGGCGCTAGTTTCAATCTGAGACCTTGGTCATCTGGAATTTTCGTACGGTAGCTTAGGATCGAAAATTCTGCGATGGAGCAAACCTGTTATTATAAAATTTTAGGTATTGAAAAAACTGCTTCAGGTGATGAGATAAAGAAGGCGTATCGACGACTGGCACTTAAATGGCATCCAGATAAGAACCCAGACAAAAAGGAAGAAGCAGAAAAATGCTTCAAACTCATAAGTGAGGCATATGAAATTCTTTCGGATCCTAAAAAGCGTGACATTTATGACAGACGCGGCAGGGGTCCTCATGCTGGCGAGGCATTCGTATTCGAGGATTCTGATCCTTTCTCAATGTTTACGCGGTTCCGCTTTCGAGATCCCATGGATATATTCAGAGAAGTTTTTGCGGGCTCTGGGCTCGATTCTTTCTTTGGCCCCAGTATTCATGACTTCCAATATGGTCCTCAGTTGGGTCGAACTCACAGGTCCAACTCTCATCGCAACGCTGGGCGACAATCGGGATCTCCTTATCATCATGCCGGACGTTCTAGTCAAGTGCAGAGCTATGATCCCATGCTCGCAAACCCTTTCATGGGTGGACTCTTTGATTCTCCGTTTGGTGGGTCACTGTTTAGTCCTTTAATGGCTTTTACCGATTCTGGGTTCGGAAATCCCCAGGGTTCTTCATCAACCTCTGTCTTCAGTAGCTTTGGTGGGTCTTCATGTGCGGGTGGTTTCAGGTCAGTTTCAACATCGTCCAAGTACGTAAATGGGAAAATGGTTCGTGTGACAAAAGTGGTAGAGAATGGTACTGAAACCATTACGGAAGAAGTAGATGGTCAAGTAACTAACCGAACTGTCCGTCAATGTGGAAATGGGGCCCTGCAAGCAATGTGATTTATCTTCACACGAAATATACTTTGTTCGCATAGTAAAACTATATTAATTTTGTATAATCAGTTTCACAGTTATTTGTTGAGGTTGATAAAGTAATATTTATGTTGTCTAAATGACTGTCTTAATGCGTCCAATTTATTGTTACGTCTATTGGATACTTTGTTCTTCAACTGCACTTAAGACATACCACATTCGAATCCTCTTATAATACTTATATAAAATAAATATATCCCACTGATTTTGTTGTTTATTTTCACTTTTCATTTCAAGGTATGATATTCGTGTGGAATCGCTTAGTTGTGTCGTCAAGTCTCGGTTAGCTAAAATCATGTAAGTTCATAGATTAACTTATCCGCAGCTCAATCTATTAATATTTGGCCGTAGCCCATGTTTCATCTTTTGTTAGCCATCAGTGCATCTTATGGGGGAATTTACTAATTCAAAGCTCTCAGACTTCACGATATTTGCGAATATCTAATTTGCCGACTAGATTTAATCAGTATCGTGAGAGTGCGAACTACGTTTTCAATTAAGTCACTGCTGCCATCACCTGCCAGTTTTTTTAAAAACTCAGTTCTTTGAATCCAAGAAGTAATTTACCGATCTCCAAAACAAGTTCACCACCGTACTGACAGTAAAATATGTGACTTATCTGCTGGTCCAGTGAATGAACGACCTAGGTTCGTCCAACAGGAAGAGTGCTTCGAACTGATGTTTTAGTGATAAATAACTGATAGTGTAACGGCTGGTAATGTTACTTATCTATATTAGTCGAACTTGATATCAACAAATACGAAATTTTAACCGTGTAGTTAGTTCCTAGTGGATTAAATTTTTTCCTAAACTCACCCCACCGATGAAGTTGGAGTAATTTTGTGCAACTAATATGTCGCTATCTGGCGTACTTGTATCTGAGCAACGTGTGTACGCGTTAATGGTGTGATATCATTTCTTTTTACATAATTTGTAATAGCAGCAGTGAATATCTTTGTATACTGTATATTAGAGGTATGTTAGCAAGTATTGTGGCTTATATGCAAGCCAGATCTCCGACGAATTAGAACTTCATTACCATATATTTACTAATGTAGTTCATATGTTGTTAGTCCTCAAATGTAGTCACCGATTTCAAACTCCAGTGACCGAATTTTGCAACGTTTGTTGATCACAGATATTTTAGAAATATTGCTTGCATCTGCTGGAATCACCGGGTAAGCAATAGAGAGGTTAAACGCAAGATATTAGGCAATGATGAACTTGTAAATCTTCATCCACTAAGATGGTTGGACCACGTGTTACGAATGCCAGAACACCGATTACCACGACGCACAATGCTGACTAGTACTGGAAACGGTTGGAAGAAAGTTAGGGGCGACCAAACCAAAACGTGGCATCAATCCTTGAAGTCACTAGATTCTGGTCTGAGTCATGTTGGTAGATGCAAACTATTTGGTTGGGGCCCGCGCGACTATCATAACCAATGGTTGGAGACTCTGGGTGACATGGCTCAGGATCGATCACAATGGAGTAGGTGTATACACTCTATGTCTTCCCTTAAACAATGAGATTGAAATCGCTTCATATCTTTCTTTCTATCAACTAATTCTTTCTTCCTGTACTATATCCTTATATGCATTCTTTCTTTTATATATTACCACCATTGAATTAACTACTTCTATGAATTCGGTGTTCATCTTGTTGTGTTAATGAGGTATGGCAACTTGGATCGATGCGTATATGTGCCTGGTCCTACGTTGTAGCTGACTGACTGGCAACGTCTGTTTACGTAAAAGTGTCTGGTAGTTTAGCATTGGTAATGTGTTCACCATGGATATTTACCATCCTTAACAATTCTGCCTTTCCACTAGCGAAATTCTAAGAGGGTCAGTCACAAAATTGGGGTTCCTCACCTCTGGTTATCGGTCTTACTGATAGGGCTTAAAAACCATAAATTCGACAAGAAAACAAATACATACATTTACACAGTGACCTTATGTGATACCTCAAGCTGTTGTTTATTGTGATTTCTAGCTTTTTCAACTTGTTACGACTATGGGAAATTACCCAGTTACTTTTCTAAGTTTCCGTAGAAATGTCCCTCCACGATGTTACTATTTAGGAAATGTTGGTTGTTTATTAACCCCCAACGGCGCTCAAGCATATATCTACCACCAACCTGTATCCCAACATTTTTATGTAACTAGCCATTCACTAGATACGTCAGGAAACACAATCAAGGTTAATGAATAAAGCTCATGAAATAGTCTTCATGGCTACTAGAAGTGCCGTATATATTTACTTGAAAATCTTGACACCTGAACCTCATATTAGATCGAACAGTAAAAATCAATGGTTAGAGCCTAAGTCCCTCACTATATATATGAAATTTTTGAAACTCAAGTGTGGTTACTCTCGTAGCGTCGTTTGGTCAGTACGGTGAACTTCCATGATTTAATCTTAACGTGTCTTTGAATATGACTGAAACTTGTGTTTCTGTAGTTAGATCGAAAAGCAGAGTTAACACTCCAAGTCTGTATCGTCTTGTCCAATAAAACAGGACTGTAAAGATCTAGGATCTGTAGTTTCTGCCCATCCTCGTTCATTGTAGTTCAGACCCAATAAAATGTTAATTCTACCGAAAGCTACCCAGTATCTTTCCAAAACCCAACCACTCGGATTTAATAATTATAGCTAGTGACTTAAGCATATAGAAGGAACTTAAATGAAGCCTTATTCAGAGATGCTTTTGAAATTTAAAATCAACAAACAAATAACCCCAACCGCTTTAAAATTTATACCCTGAAAACTATTTGTTGCTGGAACGTATCAGCTGTAGACATAAGGCGGTAAGTTGACTTATCAACCGTCTAAGAAAACCAATAGGGAATCCCCACCTGTTCTTACCCCAAAATTAATCTGATGTAAGAGTACTTCCGCGCCTTGTCTCAGCGTATAGAGGATTGCAAGAATTCGAGCTCACTCTGAAAATAGGTTTGTCGAGAGTTTATTACAGAAAAATAGATTAGCATTTCATAACGTGTAAAATTTATTTTAAGTTACCCTATTATGATCTAAACACAGTAAGATAATTCAAAATGTTTTTAACATTCAAAGTACAAATCATTACTGCAGGAATAATCCGCATCAATACATAGTTTGGTAATGATAACCAGCTGGACAAATTGATCGTCCTATCAAGTTTATCAGCTTTGGTCTGTTAGTGACTACAGAAATACTGCAATTTTTGATCATCGTAAAATTAAGCCACGTATCGAGCGTGCACGTCACCCGATTGTCTACTAAAGAAGTTTTATACGGTGATATACTATGTATGACTTATAATGACAATACAGCCGCTAAGAGCTAAACGCACATTTATGCTGTAAATATTCGATCATAGTTGTCGTCGGAGCATTTCTCAAATTAGTGATGGAAGTTTCTGACACTAAATAAACTTAAATCAGCTGCAGCGACTGTGACGTGTATTACAAATTCGTAGTGATTTGTGGGCGACAATGATAGTGATTGGTTGTTTGCTTAGTCAAACTTATAGACAGTCTGACAGGCATTAGGTGAGTCATATATTCTCCTATCCTTATTATTATTGATTGTTGTCGATTTTCGGTGTGAAAGTATATTTATGTTCTAGTCAGGCTAACCACTTGTTCTTGATCTGAACTGTGTTGAAGTCCTGTAGAATAGACATTGGGAGGGAATCTGTATAGATTTTTGTTTAAGGCAAATTAACGTCCCATTGGTGTAGACAAGGGAAACCGAGCGTTATAATACGTAGTCACCATGTTGGTATTTATGCCATTTTGTCTGGTGCCTGAGCTAATTGAAAAGTTTAAGAGAAGCCGGACCGAGATATGGCTCTACTACTAGTAGACTATTTGGCTGGCATTTCTCGTCCACTAGCTGCAAGCTCATTTAAAATGATTTGGTAACCAAATCGGTCCCCCAACTTACGGCTCTACGTTATGTCCTATTGTATGACTAAGATAGTCATTTAAGTTAGAAGACATGTTAATGCTGTAAATATTTTGTTAATGATAATTTCGAAGCAATTTTTGCATGTTGTGGAACTCTCAACTTCCATTTTTAAGACTAAGTGTATCAGTCAAGGCTGTAAACTTATATGCTTGGCTACGGCGCGTTTTACACACGCTTATACTAACGTAGCTATGGTCGTTTGAAGAAGTTCAATAATCACCACCACAAAAGCAAAAGACCAACTGTTGATTTGAGTTGCTGACTTTCTGATGTGTTTTGCATAGCAGTTATTTCAACAAGTAGTTGCCTCGGAAAAATCAGAAGGTGTGGAATCAACTAAATGTTATTAGCATGAAGACATCTCATTCCTACAAAGTTATTATCAATAGTTTTGGGTATTCTTTAGCGCCATAACATTTGAACCTGAATTATTGTGATGATTGACAGACTTGTTTATTCAACTACTTTCCTGTATATTGAGATCATGAACCGATCAATGTTAGATCACCATTGGGTACCTAGAAGCACCGGACGGTCGTTTCATCCCAGTATGAAACCTCTCAACAGTGCGCACCCACGATCCCGCGTGCTGGACTCGCACCCTGAAACTTGAGTCTCGCGCGAACGCCTAACCTCTAAACCACTGAGTCGGCACCTAGCGGTGTACAGGGTCATGGGCGCGCACTGCTGAGGGGTTCTATACTAAGACGAAACGACCGTTCAATGCTTCCACATTTTCAATGGTGGTCTAACACATCGGTTCAGGATCTTATTAAAAACCCAACAATCCCCACAACCCTAAACTGGAAACCATCTTTTCATTTGCCCAACCCTTAGGAAATTACGATATTACTGCTTCAAAATTAAAATAACCTTGGATTCAGAGAATAGACTTCTGAAATTGCTTATAAGCATACAATGGAGACTCAGCATAAATGACTAGTATAAACTAAAGAGAAATTACAGAGTGAAAATAATTCACCAGCACTTGCAAAGATCTAGCAAGAAAAGAAACAAATTCAAAAATGTAAGTAATGCGGTCATCAATATCTAAGGAGAGATAAAACATTGTTGTGCCTTCTCTCTTTTAATCGATCTTAGTCATTATCAAATATCTTCAACCAAAAACTACAATTATTCCTGTGGACTCCCAAAGTAAGAGTTTCAAATTAAACAAACATGTCTCACAGTCAGAGTAACACAAAAGAATACCGAATACTACACTCGCTTTTTGATAGATAGTAAGGTATATCACGCCAACAACAGAAGTGGAAAGTTTCCTAAGAGTGAACGAGTGTGTTGAACATATTTGAATTCTGCCATCCTGCTAGGATTGGCACGACTCATCAAATAATTTGACTACACACGACCAGATTACTATTTTTAAACTAAACTCCAAAGGTAATACAACCAAGTGACACAAATAATTGTCATAGATCGTATTTCAGATACTGCTACGCTAGTTTATATTCTTTGTGTACATAGCGGCGTTTCAATAATACTGTAATATCTAGCAATCTACTGGGACTAATTTTAGCAGGGGAATTTCAAAATCTGATTTCCTGAAATTATTTATAAACCACGTATCTGAAGAAATTAAAAGTGAATTCTGGTTTATGTCAGGTGTCAGCTTTCAATAGCATTTTGGAGGTGCAGTCAGCTGTTCAATTGGATTGACATTCGACATGGTTATCAAACTAGACATTCTGGTGTTCATACGCTTACTAAGTACCACATTTTGGAATACTGTGATCAAAGTGAGCTGTTTACATTTGTACAATTACAATTTTTCATATGTTGAACAAAACACAAGTGATATCAGTATAATGCATGTCTTTTTTACAATTCTGTAGAATAAACAGGCTACAATCTCACTAGTTTTTTTACGATAAAATTTAAACACTAAGTAGAAACTTGGAAGCCATTTCTTAAAAGATAAGAAATCTGACTACCAACTCTATAAAAGTGCAAATTCATTGCATTAAAATTTGAACGATATGAAAATAGATCAATATCCTAAGTAGGTATGATTCCGATCAATTTTATTTTTAACAATAATGATATGACTATTTGAAGCGTGATGTAAAGATTTTCTGCAGACTGGTAATAGAAACCTGAATTACTTACAATGACATAAACATCATTGGGTTCCTCTTGATAAAATTAAATACAAATTCATTATTAAAAACACACCAATGCTTTGCAAAAGACATTATATATGACATAAACGAACATAAAAAGGCTTTATAAGGAATACTTAGAAAACAGGCTATTTAGTTCACTCTTTAAAGGTTTGTCATTGGCACGAAACCTATCCACCTTTGGTGGGATTACATTCAAGAATGATGTGAAAAAAATCTGCAATATAGGGGAAGGTAAGAAACCCTTTAACAGGTTAGTAATGTGATGAAATAGTCCTAACTCCTTATCTGGCTGTCTCATTACAGTAACACAGTGAGGCTGTTAAACTCAGTAACTCGATATTATGGTGTACCATTGGAAATAGAAATAAGACGAAAATCTGAATATGACTTCCGATTTTCTTCCTGATATTCAGTAGAGTTTGTCGACAACATACAGAACAGAGTTCTCCCATCAGTTTTCAATTATCAATAAGCTATCTGTATCATCTTTGATATATATATATATATACCCGACCGTTATCTGATCCTATTATGTATTTGGTTGGAAGCGATTAAACTGTACAATGATCACACAATATAAAGGAAGTACACCGAAATATATTGCCGATTCTGACCAAAAATAAGTAATAATACGTCATACCACAGATGTAAAAGATAGGAATATGGTAATGTTGCTACCATAACGATGTTTTTAGCCACTGACCCGAATAATTTACGAGGACCGTTATACGGTTCATACTGCATTGTAACAAAGTGACCGGCACAAAATGTTGCCGGAATACTAGATGTGGAGCCACCTACTCTTAGACAAAATGACCATTCCTGAGAATATACTCGAACTGAGTATTGTTTAGAAGTATGGTAGTGAAAAGGTTTAAAGCAAACGTCAACCGTAAATATTCCATAAGGACATCAAATTTTAAATGATTTGTATCGTAATTGTGGTGTCATCACAATTCAAGAATCTTGGTTAGACGATTTACAGGACGATTGCTTAGTACCACTACGTGATTTCAAAATCTATCGTCAGTATCGACCAAACAATAAAATGGTCTGGCGGCGGTGAAGCTACGTTTGTAAACGTGAACTGGTGTCGATCTACTTTTGCGTGTTTCAAGTTTTCAAATGACTTTATCGACTGTCTAACTTTAAGATGCCGTCCAAAACACCTGAATTAATACAAATATGTTTGTGTTACCAACATTTATGTGACTCCAGACTGCACATCATCTGCACTATCTGAGTTCGCTGTTATTGCCCTCAATGATTCACTTTCAGTTGTATGTGGTGATTTCAATCCATGTGACTGTAGCTTCCTTACGTCATTAGGTCACCAAAATGTGGTAGATTTTCCCACTCGTTTGGATGCTCATTTAGACTTTGTTTTCATTAATGATGTGGGTATATATGTGACTCGTAAACGTGCTCCATTTTCTAGCTCGGATCAATGTATAATTCGTGTTCTACCTAAAGTATATGGAAAGCATGGAACGAGTACACTCTTACATCAAGTCAAGAAAGTCAAATATAGGAATTACTCAGAAAATATTTGAAATCTGAATCACATTTACAGATGACTCACTGGAAAACACTACTGATGTTGTCACTTGTTACCTTAAACTCTGCCTTGATATTTGTTATCCCACTGAAACCATTTTTGTAAGTTTTGATGGACTTACATCTTCACAGCTAAAACGACTACGTAGGGTAAAAGAAAGAATATACAAGGAGAAAAACTCGTAAGCTAAATGGTCTAATACAGCTATAGATTATACGTTTCAACTCTATGTTTACTCAAAAACTCCCCAAGAATGTGGAAACTTTTTAAAGAACTTACAGGCGACAGGCACATTAGAAGCGATAACCAGCTGAATGTGTGTGACCTAGATAAGTTTTTTGTACGTCAGTCATCAGATGTAATGCTCTCTATATCTACAGGTTTGAAGAATTGTTGTGTTCCTAGTTTCACTGAAACTGATGTCCGAAGATGTCTCCAGTCACTGAATTCATCCCAATGTTTATGACCTGATGGTATCCCAAACCTGTTTTATAAAAAAAACATGCTGACGTTCTATGTTATCTATTCACGAGTATCTTTAACAGATCCTTCTCAACTAATCTCATACCGAAAATGTGGAGAAAGACAAAAATAATCCCTATACCTAAGAAAGTATCTGGTGATAAAAATGTGAAACCTAGACCTATAGCAATAAATTCACTTTTCCTCAAAACAATGGAGAAATTATTGATACTTCCACTTCAACCTGCGATAAAAGAGCACATTGATCCATATCAGATTGCTTACAAATGCAGAAGAAGCACCTAAGATGCCGTTGCTGTTCTGCATCACAATATAGTATTCAGTTTTGAAGACGGTAAGAAGTATGTTCGATGCGCTTTTCTGGACTATACTTGTGCTTTTGATTCTATACCAAGACAACGTTTACTTAACAGGTTAATCAGCGTCAACACTGACAGCTGGATAACAAATTGGCTATGTTCCTATCTCTCTGGAAGGGACCAGTTCACTGTGTTTGGCGGAGTGTTCAAAGTTTCTAGTGTCCCATGAAAGTGTACCACAAGGAGCCGTTCTTTCACCTCTTCTTTTCTCTATTTTTCTGCATGATCTGCCACCTTCTACAGAAAACACTTCTGCGAAATATGAGGATGACCTCACTGTATGTATGCCGATTTCTACCTCTTTACATCCCATTAAATTGAATGAGTTTTTGTCTCGTGTTGATTGTTGGTCTGTTGTTAATGGTCTCAAACTTAATCTGTCTAAATGTCAAGCTGTTACCTTTGGCATAAGACATGAACGGCATCTAAACACCATTTTGAGATCCCATAATGCTTGTGCCATTGAAGACTCCTTGATAAACACAGTGTCGAAGGTCAATTATCTTCGTGTTACTTTTTCCTCTGATCTCTCTCGGTCTTCTCATGTTTTACTGTTATCGAAGAAAGTTTTCCGTCTGACTTACTACATGAAGAGACTACATGCTTTTGGGATTACTCGTCATTTACTCTTACAATTTGTTAATTCTTGCATATTACCTATTATTATTTACTGTTCTCCATTATTCTTTCCCGCGCTTTTGAGAAAATACTTTGCTGTATTGCGGAGAGTGCTGAAAGCAGTTATCAAGGTGTGTGGTGAATCTTCCGAGGTCATAATTAATATGGTTGTGGATAGAAATCTAAAGTCATGCAAACTCCTGGCAGGTGTTATCTTATCAGATATTAACCATCCTCTTCACTCATATCTTTCTCCTTGTATATCTTCTGGTAGAACGAGACGTAGTTACATTGAAATCCATGCACTCAAGCAAAAGTATAAAATTTCTATAATACCTTACCTAGCAAATATACTCTGTGACGAACAGGTTGTTAGAGTTAACTTAGTCAATAACCTGTATTCTCAAACATGTCTCTAATTTGGAAAGTTGTACAGTTTCACCGTTTACCTTTCTTCTTCTTTTGTTGCTGTCTTTTTTGTAGAAGAAACATGTTGAAATACTTTGTTCTGAGAATTCTATATTGTACCAAAATATAATATTGAATAAAGCCATTAATAATAATACTAGTTGGTTACCCAAACGGAAATAGGTGAAATGAGGTTTGAAACTGACTCAACGGTTTATAGTCAATTGTGGTAACTATCGCGGCAGTGAATTATCAAGGTAGTGCAGTGAAGCTTCATCAATTGAAGTATGTAATTAGACCAGAACTTTGTTTCAGAATGTCAGTATATGACAGGTACTTAAGTTACTATGCGCTCACAACCAAATGACTCTCAAGATTGATAGTTAATATTTATGACTGCTTCCTTTATGTACGAAGTGTTTCATAACAAACCAGTGCACAGGAATTGAGATCTACCACTAGAGATGTGAGCTATTTGACTGTAACAACCCAGAATTTATTACTCTTAAATTCATATAATCTTTCCGAATGTGTAGTTCAATTACACACATTTTTTAGGTTCGAGGAAATGTGTGCCTAAAGGATTTCAGAAAAATCCACAAAGAATGTGATTATCAGAACTTTGTATTTCATTAAGTAATGTACAAGTGAATTTTGTATTCACAGCTATCTTGTGTGAACTCACAGGAAAGGTACTTTCGAGTTCGAATGATAACTAAACTAGATATTTCTGCAGGCAATACTCAAGACACTTCATTCTTTTTCGGAAATGTTGGATCATTTAAATGGAGTTTTTTCGGCGGATCAGGAGTCTTGAAACGCATCCATGCAACTAGAACACGATCCCAAAATGCGCCGAATGAATCTAATGCAGGTCGTACATCCAGAATAGCGAACTGATATGCTTCATTCACAGAACCTCCATCATAATAATCAATTACATAACGTACTTCTTTACCGCATCGATCGATCACCCAATCATGACGATCGAAAGGCAACTCATAACTGAAAAATTAGATAAAAAAGTTGTTTATGTTTCAGTTTCCCCTACATATAACTATCAGAACAATTTGAAAAAATGATAAAAATCCAAGCTAAAGGTCACTAACAACAAACTCTATTCATTGTTTCACCTTGCGTACGTAGTTCAAACTACTCTTACTGCATTGGTACAATTATCTTCACTGAATTAGATTCACAGTAAAAAAAGGGATGCTGATTATTACCTTAGTAATTCACAGTGTACGCATCGTACAAAAAATCTTTCGAATTCTGTCGTGCATTATTTGCCGACACTGGGACTGGTTGGAAGAAGCGGAGAGGTGGTTAGTATATAACATGGTGTCGTGGGATGAAAGAAAGCTGCAAAGGGCTGGCTTCTGTTGGTCCTTCACAACTCCCTGGCTGGGGTCCGAGAGATGGTGCAACACAGTGACTAGAGACGTTATCAGATATAGCTAAGAATAGAAGCCAGTGGCGATCCTGCTGTAACCTTCTTTTACTTTTAAATAAAAATAATATATTTGTAATATCCCAATGAGTAGAAATATATTATTTTTATTTATAACAATCAACCCAATGCTAAATTTATTCGAAATTATCAAATCAAACCTTGGTAATGATACCTACTTCTTTTACTTTCTTCGTTAAAAAAATGGTTGTTACTTCCTTAACTAAAAGATTTCTGATTGTACCTTTCCGTTCCCCCATTTTTACCATTATTATTATTACACCACCTTACATCAATCTCTTCGTTATTATTCCCTTTTTTTCCTTCCCCTTAAATTCTCATTGTTTTGTGTGGCGCATTCTTGTACCAATATTTATGTGTCCAAATAAATAATAAATACCATTCGAACAAAGCTAACTAAAGAATTTATCCAAATTTTTGACATGAAGATCAAGAATAAAACCTAAAAGTCAAGTTTTAATTTCATTAGCATGAGAATGACCTATGAAACTAGTATTTTTGAATAACGTACATGTCAAGTGACCCTTTTGTTACGTTCACCTTTGCTTCAGAATACTTTGTGCATCACCATGCTATTTGATGATCATAATAAAAACTTAGTCTCATGGAGTTTGTGTTGTCCTTTGATAAACAGTTTATCGTTTTCGGAAATCGTACATTGATAAGTTGAGTATCGTAAGGAGTTATTAGTATTTTACTGTCCCCATTTTAACAGCCCAAAAGTAACTCACCACCAAAAACCCTTATCATAATACTTGTAACCAAAAGACTTTTTTTAATATGGTGCAGATTTGTGTGCTTAGTATTAACCTATAAATGTGAGGGGTAATGATACTATCCAGTTGCCTAAACCAAGTAGATAGGAACAGGTATGATTATGGCACTTAGTGGTGGGACGTTGAACTCCTTTACCGCTAAGCCAACGACCCTAGCCAAAGTATGACTTCATTTGAAAACCAATTATCAGTTGCTTTTTGGATTTATTAGCTTTTAGGTTGATGCAAAACTATCTCTGAATGTCTAAATATTTAAAAACTTTCTTTACTAATTTTTATTTTTCGTTCATTTACCATGTGTACACAGTGAACTTGATATCTTGAGCAGTAAATACTGGTTATGAAAATCATCTCAAGTTGTTCACAAAAACAGCACATACCTCATGGCCCGACGAATACGTGCTCTTGGAGAATAGTTTTTTGCATCTCCAGAAAAACGACGCAATTTCGGTGTCATACATTCACTGGAAAAAAGTAAACCAAAGAGAATATAAAATATTAAAAAAGCTGGGTTTTGGCTAGCAATGAAAACCGAGGAGTGAGTTTTGTCCTACATCCGAGTTTTTGTGTTCACACATATTTAAAGCTAGTACCTATTGCTTCAAACGCCGAGTCTCAAATAGGACGAAATGTGTATCCTGTTTTCCATTGCTACCTACAATTCCACTTGACTAAATGACACATGCAAACATAGACTGATTAAATGTTATCCCTAATATCAACAAAGTGAAGATTTAAACTCTTACAAATAACCAATTAATTTTAAGATATGTTCATATGTGAACAAGAAAGATTAAATTAGTGGGTTGAACATTTAGTCTCGAAGTTTACCTACAAATACATAATTGACGATATTAAGATAAAAGAAAAATAACAAATCATAGTATATTGTTTACATTAATTGTCTCATAACAAAACTTTCTACAATACACAATTAGTAAAGGTTGAACACTACGTAATGAAAGCAATACGGAAAAAAGCAGTCTTGTCAGTCACGAAAAAAATGTTGAAACTATCCGAAGACAAACTAAATAAGGTTCTCGTGACATTTCAGCTTGTCCTAATATATTCATATGAAAAATAAAAACAATGAGAATGATGATTACCACTGAAAGTCATAGTATTAGAAATTCCACACACTTATGCTGCATGAATCTGACTGAACATATTGAAGAGTAATAAAATGGGATAATGCCCTTAATAATATTACGGCAGTTTTACTGTAATGAGCGTATATGCGAAATCGCACATTGCATTTGTAAAATAAGAAAACGATAAATTAAATACATCATTTGCATATCTTTCTTGGATTGTCGCTTACAAGCTCCATAGTTCTTTGATTCTCGTTGCTACTTACACTGTTTTTGTTTTCCTTTTTCTTCTTCTTCTTCCCCTCTTCTGTCAATAGGAATTCTAATTTCAACTCCTGGTACATATTACTTATATCTGTCTACATGAGTAGCACACACTACACTATAAAATAAAACTTACTTTCCAAATAGCCTAGGAGTTTGTATCAAAATGTTCACAATGGGAACTAATATGGTGCCAAAAATAAAATAAATTCAAATCGGTAAGGCGTTGCATGATAACTTAAAGCTGAAGACAAAAAGCCTATCCTTCGTATATAACCCAGGTGTTATAGAACTGATTTATACGCATAATTTGCTTGATGCAAGAAATATAATAGTTAACTATAAATTCGGCAGAGATTTTAAACACGATAAACTGACAATTTATTCACAAGTTCTACCTTCACTTTATCCCAACCGTAACTGCTACCTTGACGCGGTGGTCGGGCTTGCCTATCATGACCCAACCGAGCTATATTGGCTGGAACATATGTTCCTGTAGGTTCTACCATGCCAGGCAGGTCGATTGGAGAACGGTAAGACTAAAAGCAGCAACTCAAGGTCTGAGGGAGAAGTCGTACTGCTGACTGCAGAGGGGTGTGACAGCAGTAAGGTGTTTCCCTCAGATAACCAGCATCTGCAGCGATGCTGCCTTCCCACAAGGAGGGGTGGGGTTAGAAAAGGTCGACCCTAAAAATGTCACACCTCACCTTACCTCACGGACTTCCGTCTCCGGCGGTAAGGCCCTTTGAAGAACGGAGCTAACACATTAAAAACCTTCCACGAGACCGGCCTCAAGCAGTTGTCCCGTGGGCTCTGCGGTCACACTCCCAGGTCTTTAAGACCAACACTAATCCAGTTTCCTTTACAGGTTCCTCAAGAAATACCCTTCCACGGTATGGGCAGCCGGGAAGTGACACCAGCCCTCATACCCGTAACAGCACACGAGACCAAGTTGGTCACAGTCAAATCCTTCCTACACCTCCTAATACCTCTCTTATCTTCATGACTAACCCTCCTCACGTCTCTTTATCACCTCGCACCGCTAGAGCAAACGATTCGAGTACGCGGAACGTTATTCCTGGTCTCCTAAAACCACGCTCTAAACTACACGTAGGAGCTTTTAACGTCCGGACACTGTGCCAAATAGGACAACAGGCTTCCTTAGTTAGGACTTTAAAATCTCGCGCCATTTATGTGTACTGCGCCTCTGAAACGCCCATACAGGATCCGAGTAGCGTCATTCACTTGACTTCATGTTGTGGATGCGGAGGAATAGACCAATAATTATCATGTTAAGTCCAATGGTGTCCTTGGGCTTTAAATGGACATTTCCTATTGGTCGATATCTGTTCACTTGTCGAGTATTGTACAAAATGTTGTTTTCTATTTTTATGGTACGCTGTGGTATGCTTGGTTAGTATATAAATAGAGTATGTTTGAAATATAATGATTCATATCCCCGAGGCTGTGGCTTGTGTTCTGGACTCAACTGACTGGGCTAGACAGGGAAGCGAGACCAATCGAGACTCTAGGCCGTCCGTTCGTGTTTACGTGTCACTGTAATCGATCGATAAGTACGCTGCTCTAATTTTCCAGTCAAGGACACAAAAATTAGCACAGGGTAAAAGTCGACAGCAACCTAAAGCCATAACACCTCACCATATCAAAACAAAGAACCATCTCAATTCATGCTTCATGTGTCTGGAAGCCCTGATTCTGCTTCCCGTGGCCTCGCCGGCGTAGGTATAGCATTGAGTCCTAGGGCAGAACTAGCTCTCTTAGAGTGGATCCCAGTAGACAGTCGTTTGTGCGCTGTCTGACTGAACGGAACAATAAGGACTCGGAAAGATAGAGACACTCGTCGTTGCCTCTTCGTCGTCTCTGCCTATTCTCCCACTGACTGCAGCGCAGATGATGTAAAAGACGAGTTTTACAGAAAGCTTTCCGACCTTCTCCGAAAAGCTAGGTGCTCTGATGTAGTAATAATAGCTGATGACTTTAATGTTCAAGTAGGTAAACTAAGCGAGAGGGAAAGACACCTCGGTGGATCTTATAGTGTCGTGGCTCAAAGAACAGATAATGGCGACCGTCTGTTGCAGCTATGCTCAGATAACCACCTGTTTCTTGCAAATACTACATTTAAGCATAAGGAAAAACATCTTTTGACATAGCGACCACCGAATTCGTCCCAACGTTGGACGCAAATAGACCACATCGCTATCAGCCACCGATGGAGGGGCTTGAATTCAGATCATGCTCTAGTGCAAGCGCGTATTTGCCTGCGTCTTACTGAACGTAGGAAAGACACTACAAGGAAACCTCTTATGGTCCTACCCAATGATAGCCAAGCTAAGAATATGTTTCAGGAACAACTAGAAAAAGCTAGGCAGCCCTGTAAGTGATACCCATTTCAAAGCAGCGTGGAATGATATCCGGAAAGCTATGGAAACAAGTAATATCTGCTAGTAAGGTAAATCATAAGGTTAGGGGGAGATACTGAATCTCAGCAGCATCTACCGCACTGATAGACGCTCGAAAAATCATCAAATCTGGATCTGAACATGACGAAGAGCGGAGTCAGCTTAAGCGCAGGCTGATAAGAAGTCTACGCAATGATCGCCCCCAAATGCCCTGACGCGCCCAAGAGTGAGAAGAGTCAGCTCTCCCTCTCGAAATGCTCTCACGTGACCAAGCTCATGTTATAACTTGTGGCCTGTGTGCCCTGTTAATGTATAACGTAACGATACTGCCAATTAGAGAGCAGTGAATTATCGATCGGACCAATGACGCGTAAACCCATACGAGCAGTCTAGAGTCCTTGTCGCTCGTTCTTCCTGCCTAGCTCAGCCAGTTAAGTTCAGAACACCAATTTCAGCCTCTGCGATATGAATCATTTATTTCAAACAAACTAAATTTATATACCAACCAGACAGACCACATCGTACCATAAAACAGGAAACAACATTTGTACAAGAATTAGCCTAATGTGGCTGTGAATGAGGGAGGTAGTAATTAATAGACAGGGCATAATTCAAGAATGGTGAATCGTAGAAGAATAGTTGATAGGTCAAAATAAAGCTCATAATAAGAGGAACATGAATATGTATAGTTTAGTTATTTAACAATTATACGATAAAAATATACACATAGTAATGGTCCATAAATGGATCCCAAAAGTTACCATTCACTATGCTTATTGGGACATAACAGTATACAGCCACAGTCCTACTCAATGCCTTCTCACAACGGGGGTGCTGTTTACGAAATTGAGAGGGCGGAAAGATAATAGCCGGTACTTTAACTGGGTTGGTGGGTATGACAGATTGACCTACAGGAGTTGGAAAACCCTGATCACAAATCAATGGCGTACATGAACTCCATAATCATGAAACAAATGGCACATGAACCTATTGTTGGTCACCGGTTACCATGGGACTGAGTCTCCTAAAGTTGTTCCACTGCCTTGTGGGTTAGACCTCTAGGTCAAAAGCTCGAGATGTGGCCCCCTAGGAAAACGGCCTGTCTCGGTTTGGGCATCCAGGCAATATTCCAGCCCTCACACGAATAAATGATAACTGCTATTGGCCTCATTGTCATTGTGTGGCGCATCTGTATTTGGAGCTTCTTTGTACCAATGTTTATGTGTTCAGATAATAAAGAAGACAGATATGTTTACTCTATTTTCCCCTAGATACTGAGTCTCAAAGTTATTTTAAACCCTATGATTCAGTGGATCTATTCATTATTCTCAAGTTATATTGTTTACGCCTAATCTTTTCTAATACCATTGACACTGTTATCACTTCCACTATTCTAGCATCCGTTTTTATAACTTCCTCTCGTTGTAATGATATGGTGTGGCAACAGATGTACACATGACAGGTTCTACGTTGTTCTTGGCTGGGTGACAGATTTAAAACACTTTCAGCCAGTATTAATTACAGTATTTGTTGAAGTATTTTTTAAAGCCTTAAATTCACAATCATTAGCAAACTTAATGAATTATTTGATTCCCATTATAACTACTAACTTCTGAATTGTGAAGACCGATATGATTGACTGTTATAAAATTCAGTAAGCAATTAGAAATAGACAATTACCGTATTCATTATTATATTTAGTGATCAGTGTGAATATCTATGGATTATACTTATAAACTCGAACACAAGTTAGTTGATTAGCACATAAATTAGTATATGCTAAAAAAGTAAATAAGTTTCATTAAACAAAAACTTGTAATTTGAAGGAAAATTCAGTGTATAATTAGGAATCATCTTAACCGTAATTTTCATACTTAATTTACATAACTACATGGTAAATTCGCGAAGTCTTTCATAAAGTAAAACCAAGTTGGGTTGCCTTAGTTCATTGCGATCTCATTGTTGACAATGTAGATTAAGAAAAAAACCCGAACGATACATCTGTAAACGACAGCAATAAATAATCCTTCGTCAACAAATAAGTGAATCTGAAAAATACATCTAGATTATTTTTAATGACCACGTTTAGCTGTCAAGAAGTGGTTGAACAAAAAGACAGAGTTGACACCAACTTAAAAGTAAAAACTTTATCACATGGGCTGTTATGAATTTAAACAACGATTTATCTACCAAAATCTAAACAATCCGGTAAAATCAATAACCATTATCCAATAGACATAATTCACAGCTTCGAATATGGAATACTTGCACCGAATTGGTGATGTTATTTGTGTCATTCATTTATAGTACAAATACGTTCACATGGATTCTAAATACTGACTTTTATACACTATAAAGGGTTCATCGTGAATAGTTCAAAACGTGTTTATAGAATAACAGAAGCTCGTATCCAAAATTAATGGCCAGAAGTTAGCAGGGCCTAGAAAAAATACGCATCGACCTAAATTGTTACATCTCTCTTCAGTTAGAAATCGACGTGATGAAAAGCAAAGAAAGTGCATCAATATTATAGATAATGTTAAATAACTAAATGTAAGAAATATAGCTCAGTTATTATAAAAAGCTTAATATACTGAATTCCATCACTACTAATAGGAAAATGAGCCTAGTTTTTACTTCAAGAGAATTCACACTTACTTAGCATGTAGAGCTTCCCATTTTAAAACCTCACGCCAAGCTAATTCATTATTTATATTATGTATTCGTATGATGTTGTTCATATCTTCAGGTCTGATATCATCATCCCGCCAACGCCAACCTTTACGAAGCATAGCGTTCCAAAACATTTGAGGTGAAGGATATATCCATTTTTCACCATCAGATCGATCTGCTTTTGGAATGGAAGACAATTCGCGTTCAGTGGACAGTGGGAAAGGTTGTCCAGGACTTGGGAGTTGGTTAGGGGGTGGCATCTAAAATACAGCCAATTGGTTTAGAAAAAATAATAAAATATTTAAACCAATTGATAATGATCAGTAATGAAGATTATCTAACAGCAAGTGGAACTGTTGTCTTAAAAGTAGAAGTCCTAAAGATAGGTTTTTAACTATGAAATATTTTAACGTATAGCATACAACAGCAGTTTGCTAATAAATACCCAAATTTATAACACACAACTCATAATACAAAATCTGTGTGACTGTTGTTCGTCGTAAAGCATAAGTTCGCTTGTCAAATCAAGTTTTTTCATGATTAATATAAACGATCAATGCCCTCCCTTGGTTTAAGTGTTTTACACACTAACTTAGGAAACGTCTAGTATTTGTGACTTGGTCAATTTCATTGTTGTCTTATATAGTAGCTTCCTCAAGTGTTTGATGGGTAGGCTAGTTTATGAACTAAATTAGGCGATACAATACAATCTAGATTTGAGTTCAACAAAGTCAGGAGCATTTCTTGTTGTGTGTCTTTTATATCCTCACCTGAGGCAACCAAAATTGAAAACAACTACTTAGCTAACTTGAGAGTTATTCAAGGTCCCTAAACGCACTGACACGGCCGAGAGTGGGAAGAGTCAGCTCTCCCCCTTGAAATGTTCTCACATGGCCACGTACTTACAACTACTCGCTGCCTTCTCGTGGCAGGAGTGTTGCTTACGAAATTGAGAGGACGAAAAGCGAATGTTCGACGCTTTAACCGGGTCAGTGGATATAGAGGATCCACCTAGGAAAGTTGGAAAACCCTGATTCCAAACCAATGGTGTACATGGGCTCTAGGATCCTGAGGGAACAAATGGCGTGAAGCAACGTTAGGAGATTCAGTTCCACGGTAGCCAGTAGTCAACAATAGGTTCGTGCGCCATTTGTTTCCTCAGGATCCTAGAACCCATGTACATCACTGGTTCGGAATCGGGGTTTTCCAACTCCTATAGATAGATCTTCCTCATCCATCAACCCAGCTTTGGAGCCGGGCGTTTGCTTTTCGTCCTCTTGATTTTGTAAACAAGATCCCCACCGCGAGAAGGAAGTAAAACTTTCCTGGCAGTGGCTGTACATGTGTGGACATATGAGAATATTGAGTGACAGAGAAGTCTACCAACATACATTATGTACCTACACTTTGAAGCAACTTGAAACATCCGCGAACTGTCTAGAAATGAAATAGGTGAAAGAAAATTAAGAAGAAATGGTATTTTATTAGTGAAACGTATGGTTTAGTAGTATACGTACGACCACGTAAGAGGTCAATAAGTCCACTGTTTAATCTCTTTATTATAGAATGCATAGTCTACTTCACTCGAAATATCTTCCAGTAACCGTGTGAAACATTATCATGGAAGTCGCATTCGCCAACTTTAGATACTGGGAAAATTTCCAGCAGATATAGCTTTTTATAAGACCCTCCCCTCTACTGCAGCAAAATAGGCTAAGTTTATAACAGGAAATAAAAAGATAAGTTAGGCATAATGCCACATAAAATAATAGCGAATGTACCCGTAACGGACAAAGATTACTACAGAAACTGAACACTAAGTTGTTGCTCTTCATGGACCTGACGCTTTCGGAGCCAAACTTGGAAACAACACCATGATTCGGTTTAAGGGTTTGTGGAGTAATAGTAACGGAACTATGAAGACTGACGATAATTATATTCTATTAGCCGACCCAGTGACTCAACACAGGTAGTTCCAAACAAACTTATTCCCAGGACCTATAGTGGACAGTGAACAACATTTATAATCTTGCTTGCAAAAAGAGGCCGAGATTACAGGCAGAACCCCAGCAAAATTTATTTCAACAAATGAAAACTTGTCCTTTGTAGGCGCTTGGTATAAAAATAAGATTCATGAAATACTAAAGACATGGGGAATATGAAACTCACAAGATTGTCTGGACTGAGGTTCTTGTACCCATGATTCATTGGACATCCATCACTTTTCCCAACAGGACATTCACTTGGCATCTCCTTTTCTTGACCCACTTGCTGACTCCGAGAAGAAATCAAGCCCATTATTTCAGCCTATAGTCGGACGACCATACACAGAAAGAACCTTTAGTGAACAAAACAGCGGACGGAGTATGGATTCACTTAAAAATATGGCCTCAGTATATCTATCATTTGCACCAAGTCACCTGGGCTATTGATGCAGAAACATGAAGGGTAATTTTCATTCAAAATCTGTGAGATTTATGCTTTCGAGCTTAAGTTCCATACTGATAGAAACGTGCGAGCTTAACCGAAATCGACCAACAATACATCAGTTTCTGTCGCCAAATAACTGTTGGCTAGTGGATGGACACAGGAATTTCATCAAAACGGCTAACAGTATATTTCTACGACGACCCTTATCCTTTAATGTTTCTTCTCAATTGGCGGTTGAGTACAACATACTCGAGGTCATTCAAATGAGTTTTTATTCCTACTCACTTAGTTTTAGTCGAGCCCAAAATTGTGGATCTCGGCGTAATTCAGTCGGTAAATGCTAAGTAAACGCTTAGGACCAAAAGTATCCCGTGATTGCCTCTTCTACTACTTTTAATGACCAAACAAATGCTTTTTCGGACACTTGAGTGTTGCATGTAACTTTTCAATATACCATCATAATTTCTTAACCTTGAGAACCCTATGAAAGAATACGGCCGTTTCATTGTATTTTGATCGATTTTAGAAACGACTTTCATATGAATCCAGGTGTTCGCTTAACTAACAAATGTTTTCATGTTCTGAAATTTTTAGGACTACCGTCAGGTCTACTCATTCCACGAACTTTGATCTGCCCAAATTTGTTGGTGTGAATATGTACAAACATCTTAGACTGTTTGACCTTCTTATTTGTCTAAGGAATCCATAACCAATAACAGACCACGGTAGCGCTTACTACGAAATACGCAACTATTTCTGAATGTTTCAACATCTAATACCTTTATAACAAGCTAGCATAAACCGATGAATTTCCTCGCCATCACTTCTTACTGTTTCAATACGGTTCCGGGTACTTAGCAATGTTTGATGTGTGGCAGCCTAGTCACTTGACTACTGATTCTCTTCAGTTTGTGAATTTGTATATCTTGTGAGTCAAATGAGTGCATTTGTCTCAGGGAATTGTTTCTGGATACCAGAAGCTAACACATTACCAGATAGGGTATTGGTCGGCGGAAATGGGAGAAACGATAAACAGAAAATGTAAATGCTTTGAGATGATTGTTTCAAGCATAAACAATCTACTTAATTGCTAATTTGTAAGAAGACGGAACTTAAGGAATAAGATGAGAACAAAAATCATAATAAGGGAGATGAAAATTAGTTACTGGTATGCAATAATAACAACCGTGGTATTTTATAAGACGTTCATTAAACACAGCTGATACAAGAGTCAGACGGTAATCCATGAGATTGTATGCGCAGGTTAAGTCTCTTCTTATGGTCATCCGCTAAGGGGGCTGTGGTTACTTTGGCTGAAAGTGCATTACAAATGGCGACAACTCTTAATGTGAAAATTTGAGAGCGTACCTGTGTGTGCGCTCTATGATGTGCAATCTTTAGAGGGTTGCCTTGAAGAGCGTGGTGATGACGTTCCGGTATTATCTTCACGTTGGGGTGGCTTGGAGTATTTAATGTGTTGTATGTCCTTATCAGTTAACCTCTTGTTCTCCTGTAGCTCGGCAAAAGTAACCCCAGATGTTAAAGTATGTTTCCGTGAGGTTTATTTTGAATCCGTTCACCCACTCAGTTGCCCGTCTCTGCACCTTTTCCGGAGGATTTACATGTCTCTTGGTGAGAAAGGATGCGACGATATCGCAGACTTCCAGGTGGGACCGTGTGTACGTTAAAAAGGGAGTGCAGAATAATTCCGGGGTGATTTTGTTAAGCTGTCTTCTTAAAGAGTGGAGAGTTGTGTTCGCTTTGACTGTATCCTTATGTAGTTCGAGCTGGTGTCTAAGCTCTTCGTGGTTATATGCCTGAGACCGCGATTTGAAGAGCCAATCAACAGCGGATTCCCATGGAAAGCGTTAATCGTTTGGGTCAAATGAGTCAGGATGTTCATGACATGACATTCCAACAGATTGTGTTTGAACCCATTGTCTACTGGATATTTCTCTATTGTCTTTAGGTTCTTAAGAGGCTTAGATACATTCGTTTCGTTTTGCATGAACCTCCAAATCTTTGCATCGTCTGCATAGACTAGTGCTTCCGATCCAATTTTATTTAAAAGGTCATTAGTAAGGATCGGGAGCAGGAGTTGATCTAAGACAGTCACCCTGAAACTCATGATGTTGAGACTCGCGATCTCTATTTACCCTAGTAAGAAAAATCCTGTTCACTAGGTAGTTTGGGAGAAATATAGGAGTGGAAGAGTGAATTCCACCTTTGCACCCTTTTAGTCTGTAGCAGGCTTTCTGTGTCTTACTTAGCTCAAGACCTCCCATTTCCAAGTATATGCTTTCCTTGAAGTACAATGTGTAGAATGGTATTCTGAGTGATGTCCTTCACTTTGTTACAGTGATCACCCGCTGTTAGCCCCCAACACTCTCGCGACCATGGGGCGTGTTGAAGATTATGTCTCATCGTCGTGTAGTTTACCTTTGTATAACCACGGTGGGAAACGTCCTCGACGCTCCGAATCATCTCGTTTTTGATAACATTAGATATTACTATCATGGTCAGTACTCACTATTTGTATACGGATATCGATGTCTTTCACTAGATGATGATTATCTGTTAGCAAATAATTTAATTCACAGAGTTCTCCATCTTCACTCGATAGCGTGGGACCACTCCCGTGTGCAGCCAATCTCGAACTTCTAATAGCCCTGAAAGCCCCCTTAAGAAACTACCATGTAGAGTTTATTTCCTACTTCTAGAAATTCATGGATGGAATGTTGGCGTCTTCAGCTAGTAGCAATTGGCTGTACTTCAGATGTTGTATTTTTGGTATCGTCTGAATAATTTTATCCTTTGGAGTGTCAGTATCAGTGGCAGCACCAGCATGCTTCCGTTACCTAGGTCAGTCCAATACTTTTCGTTATCACGGCCTTTAAGTAACAGTAAATGTATATTAGTACTTCCACCCCTGTCTTTATGTACCCTATAGTACTGAAAAGTGTCACTCCGTGCAAGTCCACTTCGTCATCGATGAGAACAGAAAATAGCCATTTTTCTATCAGGACTATAATCTTCAAATCAAACTGAAGGCACATGTTTTTTAATTTCTCCCATTTTACTTCTTGGTCCTCTCACATTGTTTTCAAAACAGCTTGCTGTTTAAACTGAATCCGCCAGTTTAGCACGAGCTAACCTCTGTAGGTTTTCCGCCTGTAAAGCCCATCCTATTCAAGAAACTGTGGTCTCTGTGTCCTGTATCATGAGTTGAGGCTGTTGCTTTATATTTTTAGGTTGGCTCTAACGACATCTGATGTGACTCCAGAGATTTTTTTGAGCTGTATCAGGTCTAAAGGGCCTTATTTGGGTCCTCTCTGTTCCCAGGGAGTGAGTTATAACGGGCAAAGTAACCTGGACACTTCAAGTATCGTAGTATTGTGAAGGCCTACGCTACATGATGGCCAACGTCACTGTTGCATATCACGTCCGTGAGGTTCGTGAAGACCACCACTCACTAGTTCACGCACTCAGAAATGCCAAGTAGGCTGGGTCCTGGGTGTCTGTTTATAACTTTCTAGTGTCATCTCTTACAAACATCTTATGGGTACATAAGTATCGTGAAGAAACCATTTCGGGTTTCTTCAGAAATGCAATAATACACAATCTTCAATAATGTTAGCATTATATTTGCCATATCTAAAAAAGTAATAATAATAGAATAATAATAAATCGGGTCTGTGTAATTGAGAAGAATATTGGATTGAGTTTAAAGAAGGAAAGGAAGAAAATAACGGAATAGAAATAAAGGAGACATGAAATACGCAAATAGGTTGATAGGCGTGTTTATGAACACAGAACATGAATTAACGTTCATCTATATATCGTCAAATTAATGACAAAAAATAATTAGGAAGAAATAACTTATTATTGCAGTACGATATGACGCTAGAATAAATGTTTGTGCAGTTATCGTTTGGAGTGATGCTATGAAAGTCTCAATTAAATAAAAAGGATAACGAAATATCAGTATGTATGAGTCATACATCCATAGTGAGAATAAAACGGGCCTGAGAAGTTAATTTAAATGTAACACAAGTTATTGTCTTAATTACAAATGTCGTAATTTTAAGAAGAATATTTATTTAAAAGGAGAGAAGAGAAAGAAAAGTGGACACCTAGTGAAAAGGTTCATCCATGATAAGAACAATAATTGTGCAATGAATGTCGATCTCAGAAGTAAACCAGCAATTGAGAAAAATAAAATAAATATCCTTTAAAGCACTCGGATGAATACAATTAGATTTATGTAATAGAATACAGAGTGAAACCGGATATTAGTATAAATATTCGTGCAATAATAATTAGGAATGATGCTATGAAAGTCAAAATTGATTTCAAAGGACAATCTGGGATTAAATATGTTTAGAAGGATAAGAAGAGATAGAAAGGATATACAATTTATCGAGGGACCAATAATGATAAGAATAACGGTAATAATGATAAATACGAACATAAGCAGACTTCATATATTAAGATGAATAGAAATAAAATAAAATAGACGTGAAAAGTTTCAAAGGTTTCATTTTACTTTTCAGAAAATTAAATGGATGACGGACCTTGTTTGTACAAGTCATTATTAGATGCATTGATATTCAATAGATGACATAATCCACTTTCGGAAAGAAAATCATAAAGGAGACTTCTGAACCGGGTTGTAGTTTCACTGCAACGGAAGTTCACCTGCAGTCTGTTCCACATGGTTGAGTAGCGAATAAGGAGAAAATTCTGGCGTAAGTTTGTGTGGGTTCTTGGAATCGTTAGAATATTCTCCTTATTGAGTAGATTGTGGGATGATATCATAAGGTATAAAGGGGTGAATACCGAAGAGTAGGAAATATCGTTAATAAGCC